TCGTCGGCAGGTGGAGACGAAGGCCAGCTCGCCCACCGCGCGTGCACCTGGAGGTCGCGGAAGCCAGCGAAGAGCAGCTCTGCTGTTGGAGCGAGGACCCCGACCCCTGGCCGAGGTCTGTCTGGCCCCTGCAGCGCGACGTCACCCACCCGCGCCCACGGGGTGACCGAGGCGCCGAGCCCCGCCGCCCTGCGCGGCGCCCTCGAGGGCAGCGCGCGGAGCACCGCGGTCGCATGCGAGCACCCATCGATAGTACCCTGGTGGCTGACCACCTCGCGGGATACTCCGCCAAAGGCTCTGAGGGTTCGTGGTCCGTGCGCCGCTGTAGCTGCCAGCATCCACGCCAGCCGCATCGTGCAGTGGAGAGCGCGCGCCCCCTGCCGTGCGACGCGCGGCGCGACCGTTCCGAAGCACTTCCAAGGGTCGATGAGCACGGTGACTGCCGCTCCCCCGATGCGCCTCGCGATCTGATTGGACGCCGCGGTCGAACGCGCAGTCCGAACTGCTTCACCCAGCCCCCGGCCCCGAAACCTGCTTTGCGGCGCGCGTTCTCCCATGCCTTTCCCTCTGGCCGGCGAGCCCGCGGCCAGACTCGCACGAACGAGTTGAAGAGGCCTATCAGACTGGCTCCACCCCCAGGTTTTGGGGGCCTGACAAGCTCGCGCGCCAGCCTGTCCTGGGACCAGCCGCCGAGCTCCTCGAACATCTCGAAGAGCGCTCCGAGGACCAACGGCGCCTCGTCCGAAAGGTCGTCGAGCGCCCATGGAGCAATGCGCGCGCGTCCACTCGCCGTCGTTCGTTCCAGAGCGCGGGTGGCCTTCCTGGCCGCCATGGCGGAGAGAGCGCTGAATTCCCTCCAGCGGTGCGCACCTCCTGGTTGCGCAAGTCGTCTGAGCCTGTTCGCGCTCCAAATATTCTCTCACTTCCCAATCTCAGCGTCGGCCAGCATGTGCGGGTGCACCCCCGTATCTGAAGTCGCGGCTGGTCTGGCAGGTCGGGCAGGTCGCCGCGCTTGAAAGATCCGCCCCCTCGCAGAATAGCCTGCGGTCCGCTTCTGGGAGGTGCTGCAGGACGTCGCTAGCCTTGTCGGCGCGGTCGTAATACCTCTGCCCCCGCAGCAGCACGCGCAGCCGCGACATGCGCGTTGACCCCCGCACCGCGCCCCTGCCGCATGAGCCCCGGTTGCCACCCGAGATACTCCCATCCGTGCTGTGGCGCCCCTTCAGCGCGCTCGCGCCGCGCCACTCCTGCTCCTCGACGTTGGCAATGTCGCGCCTGCCCCAGAGCTCGCAGCGGATGCCTCTGATGGCCAGGGCCCGAGCGACGGCCAACTGCACGGGGCTGGCCGCCGCCGCGACTACGCGAAGAACAACCCGCCACGGGGGCCCGACGCGCCCAGACGGCGGCGGCCATTCGAGCTTCCTGGGCCCCGAAAGTGCGCACCGCAGCACCGACTTGATGCTCCGCATTGGCCAGCTCGGGGGTTGAGGGCGATGTCGCGAGCAGCGTCGACATGCGCCCCTAGCTTCAAGCTCAAGACACATCGGCAGCAAATACATGGATACAGGGTGGTAGTCGATGACCGCGCCAGGCGCGCCCGCGCGGAATGCGGGCTCACCGGGGGAGACGCGGCATCCTACAACAGATCAAAGCAATTCTCTGCCGCCGACCAGGGCGGCCAGGGCTATCTGGGAGCACCCCATAGCAAGAGCCCTCCCCGCGCGCGCGCAAATGCAGCGCAGCCGCGATGACGTCGCCTCTCGCGGCTGCGTGCGCATGGCCAACCGAGCCGCCTGGGGGGGGCGTCGCAAGCGCGCTGTCAGGCGCAAGGACGGCCACTCCGCCGTGGTTGCCTCTGCCCGTTCCCGAAGGCAACGCCGCGCTCTGGGCCCCTCGCCGCCCTCCGCCGCGCGGTGCTCCTGGGCGGCAGCCATATGCGGCGAAGCGCTCCATCAACGCCCCCCTCGGGCTGGCGTCGACGACAGCGAAGATCGCGCTGAGGTCCGTCATCGCGGCGCTGACGACCTCAAACTTCACCGCCTGAACCAGCGGCCGCTTGGGTAAGGGGCTGCGCGCGCGTCTGCTTGGGACGCGTGCCGCCCGTGACATCCAGGCACCTCTCGGCGGCCTCCATAGCGGCCCCGTCGTCTGAGGTGCCGCGGAAAAGCTCGTGCGCCCCAGGTGGCACGCAGAGCGCCCGCGTCCTCTGCGTCGACGTCGCGAGCTGCCTGCCCCCCCTCTGCGTCGCGCTCGGCAGCGTCCGCCCCGACCTGGCCGTCTCGGCGGCCGCTCTCCTGCTAGCCCCCGCCGCTGCCTAGGCCTCGGCCTGCCCCTCGCACTGCTGCAGTCCAGACACGATGCCAGCTGCAATGCCGCGGGGCCCCTGGCCTGCCTTGAAGATGGAAGTCAAGGTCTCCGGCGCGCGCGCGCGGACGCGGCCACCGCGCGCTGCGCCCTCGGCCCTTCTGCTCGCCAGCCGCGGGCGGTTGCGGGGCGGCTCCCAGGGGGGCGCGGTGCCGTTTCTCGAGCTCGAGCATCTCCGTCTCGAGCTTGCTGACCTTATCCCCCAATTATTATGCCGCTGCCGCGGCGACTCTGGCTTGCATCTCACACTTGCCGATGCCGGTTCGCAGTCGCTCGATGCGGTCGGCGTTGCTCTGTAGGCGCGGGGCAAAAGGCTTGGCCTCCAGCATCTCCTTCTGCAGCTCGTCTCGCTCAGCGCGGCCCACCTCGAGCTGGTTCTGGAGGTGCTCGGCGCCGCCAGGACCTGCGGCGAGGAGCTGTTCGATGGGGCCTGATGCGTTCGTCGGCTTGTCCCTGATTCGTCTTGCGCTCTGTGGTCGAGGTGCCACTGTCCCCGGCGCTGGCTTCCGCGCCGTCGCCTTTCGCTCCTGCCAGACGCCGAAGCCAACGTTCTCCCTGGGGGCCTCGTCGAGCTGCCGTTGGAAGTTGGCCAGCCCCCATGGCGTTGCACTGGTAGTTCCCCCGCCACCTGCGCCTCGTTCGACTCAGCCTGAAGCGCCAGCTCCCATCGACCTTGACCTCGGCATGCGCGTGGATGGCACGCGAGGGCCGACCTGGCCGCAGAAGGTGCTGGCCTTTGGGGGGGTGGCACTTGACGCAGTTGGTCTTGTCGACGTAGTTGAACCAACCTGGGCAGCGCTTGCTACACCATGCGACAGCACGCTCGCGCCTGGATCCCGTCGCGCATGCGCCGCGATGCGAACAAAAAGTCGCCTTCTCTGCTTTGCCTGCACTCTTGGGCGGCGTCGCCATGGCTATGACAGTTGAGCTCTCCCCAGATGCGTCGCGCACTCTGGAGCTCGCCTGAGGGAGACTGCAGCCACGCAGGCCAAGAGAAACCACTTGATGACTGGCTGGGACTAACGGCGTCCACTCGGTTCACTCTAGAAGAAGACATCTTGAGCCAATATGACTGCGGATGTGTGTGAGTGTGTGTGTGTGTGCGTGTGTGTGCGTGTGTGTTCGTGGCGCGTGTGTGACTGTGTGAGCGAGTGGCTGTGTGTAAGTATGAGTATGAGTATGTGTGTGCGTGTGTTAGTGAACTTGTGGTTGTGTGTTGTGTGTTTGCGAATGTGTCTGTATGTTTGTGCTTGTACGTTTGTGTGTGTGTGTGTTTGCGTGTGTGTTTATGTGTGTGGGTGCGTGCGTGCGTGCGTGCGTGTGTGAATTTGGGTGTGCGTGTGCGTGTGCATGTGCATGCGCATGTGCATGTGCATGTGCATGTGCACGTGCGTGCGTGCGTTCGTGTGTGTATATGTGTGTGCGTGCCCTCGGTTGCCACCTGGATCTCGGCACCTCGGTCGCCCTGCTGCGCTGCCCGTCTCCAGCTTGCGCTGGACCTGCCACCCCCCCCTTGGCTGTGCCCGGCTGCCCGCCGGCTGCCGCCTCCCAGCTGAAGCCTCGCCGCCGCCGCTGGCCCCCCGCCCCAGCGCCCCCCCGCCGCGGTATGGCCCTGCTCTGAGCGGGCCCGGTTTCCTCTCCCTCCCGCCCGCGCCGGGCCTCCTCTCTCCTCCCGCGTGCCCTGCGGCTGAATTCGCGTTTTGTGTGACCCACTAATGCCACATCTCTGGAGCAGTCCCTCTGCCCAGCCGCCGATGCAAAAAGTGTGTGTTGTGTGCTCGATCGCGGCACCTGGGTATCAAGATGCAGGAGTATTATATTCTTACAAAATACAAGTGACGCATTGAAACAGGACTGCCTCAACCAGAGGTGTTCTAATAACACTCCGTGCAAACCACAGAACGCTCTCAGAAAATTTGCCCGTGGGCCTACAGGCAGGTCAGGCCGCCCCGCCACCTGCCTGAAGGAGGAGGAGGCGGCCGGCCCCCGAGGGCGTCCCGTAGCAGACGGGAGAGCTGGCGCCAGTGTGGGCCGCGGCACGCAGGCCAGCACCTCCCGAGGCGCCACGGCGGGCGGGACGCTGAGCCCACTGACACAGGGCCCCAGCTGCTGGGACGACGAGGAGGACGCCCGCCGCGTCCCACTCCCCATCCTCTTGCTCACATCAACCACCCCTCGAAGTACACATTGTCCTGAGTAGACCCCCAACGCGCGCAGCTTCTCATGCGAGGCCATGGCCTCACCCGCCTCGCCGTTAAGGGGCCCGGGCGCATGCCCGCACAGGCGATCCGTATCCGTATCCGTAACCACCCCTCGAATGCATGGTGTCAGCATGTCGTTCTCGCCCTAGCTCCGCGCACGCTCATCTTCAAAACTTCCTACGTAAAGACGTCCCGCGGATGCACAGAGGGCCGCTTTCAACATGAACATGTCTCCTGATACGTTCTCCACTTGTATGTTCATATCGTGACGGTTGGCGCCTACACTGAAAACGAATGCCCCTGGAAGATCTCGCCTGCCGAATGAGAGAACGGGCGGGCGATAAGCAGCGGAGCAGCTCGAGACATTGCAAACTGCTTGTCGTCTCACGTCTGATGCTCCCACTTCCCGCTCCCTCCCCGTATATCCCCTGCGTCCTCAGGCCATCGCGATGCATCTCCGACCTGCAGCCCGACATCCGTGGGGCTGACCAGCTTGAAGGACATCTTCCAGGGTAAGGGCTCCCACCAGCTGCGGCTACTCAAGCCATCAGGCCTACAGATGCGAACTGCAAGCATGAATGAAGGCTCTCAGGAAAGCTGTACCCACTGGAAGCGTTGTGTCCATCACACTTGACTCATTCACAACCGCCACACACAACGGTCCGTGCGTCTATATCTCAGAGGTCACTTTCAAACAAACTGCTGAACGTTCGCAATACTTAGGGTAATGATCAGTGTGAAAATACCGCTGCTGCCGCACATGTGATGCCACCGCGTGGATGCTACTCACAAGCACGCTTGAACGGCTCATGAACATGACTGTCGAGACGAAGCACGTGCCCACAATTCACCATGCTGGCAAAACAAACACCGAACGGCGAGCTCCAAAGAGCCACCAGGGGGTCGCGAGGAACTACAAAGAAACCGCAGAGGGGCCACGAGATGCCGCAAACGGGTCAGGGGGGCCACGGCCCACTCTGCAAAACACGAGCCTGAAAGCCATCGAGCCACGAGTGAGCCATGAGGTAGCCACGGAGGGACCACGAGAGGCCCACGAAGAGCAACCGGTGGGGGGGAAGGGGGGGCGGGGGCCATACTCCTCCTCCTCCTCCTCCTCCTCCTCCCCCTCTCCTCCTCTCCTCCTCCTCCTCCTCCTCCTCCTCCTCTCTCCTCCTCCTCCTCCTCCTCCTCCTCCTCCTCCTCCTCCTCCTCCTCCTCCCTCCTCCTCCTCCTCCTCCTCCTCCTCCTCCTCCTCCTCCTCCTCCTCCTCCTCCTCCTCCTCCTCATATATACCTGCTGAATATACCCGGGCCGCGGAGAGGCCTCGCCGTACGCTGCCAAATCGACTCCCGAAAGGCGCCGAGCCACGAGGGGGCCACCAGGTGGACGCGAGGGGTGCCACGAGAAGGCTGCGGGGGCCGCGTGGGGTGCCGCAGTTTCCCGCACGTAAGCAAATCCCGGAAGGCTTCGCGCCACTACCGTCGGGGCGCTGACCTAAGGAACCCTAAATAAGGAACGAGGCCCCTTTTTTCCATAAGTTAACCTTCGATTTCCTGTCGAGAACATAGGGAAAGCCTGAGACAAGCTGTGAAACATTTGAGGAACGCGGAGCCCCTCCCCAACCAAAAGGGTTCCTTCTTCAGGGCCCCGACTGTAGCGAATCGAATGCTGAATTCACCCCGGGCCGCGGAGAGGCCTCGCCGCACACGGCCACATCGACTCATGAGAAAGGCGCCGAGCCACGAGGGGGCCACCCAGTGGACACGAGGGGTGCCACGAGAAGGCTACAGTCGGGGCGCTGACCTAAGGAACCCTAAATCAGGAACGAGGCCCCTTTTTTCCATAAGTTAACCTTCGATGTCCCATCGAAAACATAGGGAAAGCCTGAGGCAAGCTGTGAAACACTTAAGGAACGCGGAGCCCCTCCCCAACGAAAAGGGTTCCTTCTTCAGGGCCCCGACTGTAGGGTACACGCGGGGCCACAGCGATGGGGCACGCCTCACCCTGCCAGGCAGAAGCCTGAAGCGCCCTCCCCGCGAAGACCACCCAGGTCTGCTGCAAGGCCCCAGGCAGATGACTGGGTTGCAGAGTTCGTGCTGCCTCATGTGCGCCGGCGGGCTTCACAGCTGCAGTGGCGAGGGGCAGCGGCCCACGAAATACCGAAACAAAATCGTCGCCACTCCACCGGGACGACCACAACTGGGTTCGACTACTACCGTCTACCCTCGGTCCCCACAATGAGGCCACGAGCCACGAAAGCCGCAAGGCTGCAACCGTCAGAAACGACAACTGTTATGCACCCTCGGCCCCCGCAAGGGGGTCACACGCGCTGCGAATTGAACCAGGGACACGACTATCCGAATCGCAAGCTGTTGCTCCACCCCCCTTACCAAGTGTTGGGGGATCTGGAACGGCTCATGAGGGACCCGTCGGAGCGGCCTGCCTGGGGAACGCGATACTCATAGTACTGACCAAGTCAGTGCACCTCTTGCGACCATATGCACGCTGCAAACAATGTACGAGCGCGTAGCACGGAATAACAGCAAGGAACCCAAAAATTCGGAAGAGCGGCCCGCTTGAATCAAATCGTGTTGGCACGCAAGCCCGAAATGGGGACGGACAATGTGGGAACGATGCCCATCAGCGGCTGTTGTCCAAAACCGGCAGCAAACGATATTGAGAAGGTGATGTTCGTCTTGAACAGACTTCGCCCGCGGCGACACCGACAACGAATCCCGTTCAAAATGGGGGGCAGGACCTGCTGTTGGTCTTCGCCCCCGTACTTTCAGTACCTATTGCGGTCCACCTCATCGGAAGTTTGTCAGATTGTGCAGAAGGCTGCCCAGACACCTCAACTGATGCACTGAAACATTCGGCTACAGCGAGGACTTGCAAGGAAATACCGGCTGTCAAGTTTGACTGGCAGCAAGGATGCCTCTGACCAGGATCAATCCCGATGATCTGTGACCTTCGAGGAGATGTCGCCAGGTGCGTTGTGACGCTGCTCGGGACTTCAAATACCTCCACCAGGTAATGGCAATTGGCGGTTAGAAAGGTCTGCGTGTGACAAGCAGACTCCTGGCAGACACTGGACAAAGCGGCAAGAGGTGGTCCAGACACAATTCACGAAGAAAGAACAGCAACGGAGCCAATCGGACGACGCGGCAGGTAGGTAGCAAATGGAAGAGTTGGCGACCACCCCTGCCCCCATCCACCTTCACCCCGCCCCGCCATCCTCTTATCCTCCCCTTCCTTGTGCCCCTTGGTCTCTTCCCTCGTCTATCCGAACTAGAACGCGCAACCGTTCGACCTCCTCCCGCCCTGCACTTTGGCCTTTCAGTATTGGCGTTCCTCCACCAGCCATGCTGGACTCCACACGTACACATGCTGGACTCCACGCAGGATGACCCCTTGCAGCGACAAGGAAAACACATCAGCAGCTCTTGAGTAACTGCTGCCACTGCAAATTCTCATGAAATAAGACCGCTTCGGGGCACCTGGTTGTCGGGGACGCATCCACAGCAACACCGTCGAACACTCGCATCCTGAATCTCAGTCTGCAACTCGTCGACATCACCTGTTCCGTCAACAACCCAAGACGGCAGGTAAGTAAGAGACATGGCCAAAAAATAACGACAACTCTGCAGACAACAGATGCAAGGGGTCCAGGAAGGCCAGCGTAAACAACCGATCAAGACAACAACGTATCCCCGATCCTCGTCGAAGTGTGAGGCTGCGCCTTACGGAAGCTCCCAAAGAGACACGTCTGTCACTGGAGGCCCCTGGAGCCTCTGGAGACCCTGCAAGACGTATACACCCTTTTCGCATTTACGCCTTACCGGCACTCCAAAACGGCCCAAGAGGCTTCCAAGACCGGCCCAAGATGGCCCACGAAGCCTCCAAGAGGGCCCCAAGACGGCCCAAGATGGCCCCAAGACAGCCCAAAAGGCGCCCAAGACGGCCCAAGAGAGCCCCAACACATTCCAAGAGGGGCCCAAGAAGGGGACCAGGCACCGAAAAGTCCAGCCTTCAGCCCCAAGAGGCCCCCAGGAGGCCCCAAGAGGCCCCTTAAGGGGCCCCAAGGGGCCCCCAAAAGGCACCCCAAGAAGCCCTGAGAGGCCCCCAAGAGGCCCCAAGAGGCCTCAAAATTGCCTTCCAAAGGCCCCCGAGAGGCCACCCACGAGAGCCCAACCAACATCGGTGAGGCCTCCGACCCGCCACCCACTGCCTCCGAAAAATGGCAGCCGCCCAACCGCACCGCATTGACAACAACACCCCGACAAACGACAGCGGCGAGGCAATATAGGCCGGCGGGATGAGCGAAGCGATCAAATAAAATCAATGATGTTTGCTTTCTCGCCGTTTCGCTTCCGAGGGGCTCTTGTGGGCTCAAGATGGCCCAAATATTATCAAAAAAACCCACGAGGGGCCCAAGAGGGCCCGAAGACGGCTCCAAGAGCGCCTAAGCGGGGAGACCTTCCCTTCTGTCATCATCGATGATCTCGAAGATGGCTCCAAGATGGCCCAAGAGAGGCCCAAGAAGTGCCCAAGAAGGCTCGAAGACGGCCCCAAGGGCGCTCCAGGAAGGCCCAAGAGCGCCCCAAGAACGCGCCAAGAGGGCTCGAAGGGCTTCCTTTTGAGGCCCAAAGTAGCTTCCAAGAGGCTCCCGTGGCCAAATACGTCGTCATCGTCGTCGTCGTTATCGCCATGGTCGTCGGTGTCGTTATCGCCTTCGTCGTCGTCCGTTCTAGATGCTGTTAGCATGCGGAGTTTCTCCTACCTCCTTCTGCAAGTGTTGCCAAATTCTGCTAGAACGGCAAAGCTGCAATGCAAATTATCCCGGCAAAGCAACCTAACAGCGATGTGTAGAAGCATATCTGAAAGCATTCCCCTTAAGATTCAGATGAAAATCCAGTTGTCGAATTCTGCTGTTCTCGCAGTCGTAGTCGCATTCGCGATGACAGTCGCAGCGGCAACGGCAGTCGCAGTCACAGCCTCAGCTTCAGCCTGCCTCCTCCTCCTCCTCCTCTTTCTCCTGCTCCTCCTCCTCCTCCTCCTCCTCCTCCTCTTCCTCCTGGTCGTCCTCGTTCTCGTCCTCCTCGTCTTGCTCGTCCTCCTCCTCCTGGTGCTCCTCTCCTCCTCCTCCTCCTCCTCCTCCTCCTCCTCCTCCTCCTGGTGGTCCTCGTTCTCCTCCTCCTGGTGCTCTCCCCCCCCCTCCTCCTCCTCGTCCTCCTCCTCCTCCTCCTCCTCGTCCTCCTCCTCCCTCCTCCTCCTCCTCCTCCTCCTCCTCCTCCTCCTCCTCCTGGTAGTCCTCCCCCTCCCCTCCTCCTCCTCCTCCTCCTCTTCCTGGTCGTCCTCGTTCTCGTCCTCCTCGTCTTGCTCGTCCTCCTCCTCCTGGTGTTCTCTCCTCCTCCTCCTCCTCCTCCTCCTCCTCCTCCTCCTCCTCCTCCTCCTCCTCCTCCTCCTGGTGGTCCTCGTTCTCCTCCTCCTGGTACTCTCCCCCCCCTCCTCCTCCTCCTCGTCCTCGTCCTCCCTCCTCCTCCTCCTCCTCCTCCTCCTCCTCCTCCTCTCCTCCTCCCTCCTCCTCCTCCTCCTCCTGGTACTCCTCCCCCTCCCCTCCTCCTCCTCCTCCTCCTCCTCTTCCTGGTCGTCCTCCTCCTCCTGGTCGTCCTCCTCCTCCTGCTCGTCCTCCTCCTCCTCCTGCTCGTCCTTCTTCTCCTGCTCCTCCTGCTCCTCGTCCTGCTCCTGCTCGTCCTCGTCCTCCTGGTCTTGCTCGTCCTCCTCCTCGTCGTGCTCTTGCCCCTGCTGAAAATGTGGCCCAGGAATGGGAGTTCTGGGAAGTCGAAGAGCACGAAGTTGCCTACAGTTGGCTACGGGCATTCAAAATGTGGCCCGGGAATGGAGTTCTGGGAACTCGAAGAGCACGAAGTGGCCTACAGTTGGCTCCGGGCATTCAAAATGTGGCCCGGGAATGGAGTTCTGGGAACTCGAAGAGCACGAAGTGGCCTACAGTTGGCTCCGGGCATTCAAAATGTGGCCCGGGAATGGAGTTCTGGGAACTCGAAGAGCACGAAGTGGCCTACAGTTGGCTCCGGGCATCCAAAATGTGGCCCGGGAATGGAGTTCTGGGAATCGAAGAGCACGAAGTGGCCTACAGTTGGCTCCGGGCATCCAAAATGTGGCCCGGGAATGGCGTTCTGGGAACTCGAAGAGCACGAAGTGTGTGACTGTTGCATCCGGCCCCCCAGAATGTGGCCCGGGAATGGCGTTCTGGGATGTCGAAGAGCACTTTGTGTGTGACTGTTGCATCCGGCCCCCCAGAATGTGGCCTGGGAATGGAGTTCTGGGAAGGCGAAGAGCACGAAGTGTGTGACTGTTGGTGAAAAACGAGCCCGGCTCATGCCGCCCGGAAACGCCCCAACACCTGCCCGGACCCCCCTGTGGAGTGATCTGTGAGCTCTTTTGAGACCACTAGAAACCTATCAGTCTTCGCTGTTAGGTAAAAAAACTGCAACGAAAGAGAAACACTGCAATGCAAAACGAAACTGCAATGCGCAACATTGAAATTCTGAGCATGGTCCTTGGCGCCGTGGGGTCCAGACCCTCTCTGGACCTCTCCAAACTGCTCTCGCCTCGCACGCGGAATCCAAAGCTGAAGCTAGAACGGCAAAGCTGCAATGAAAGAAAAAAACTGCAACGCAAAAAACTGCAATGCAACAACAGTGAAATTCTGATCATGGTCGTTGGCGTCGCGGGCTTCATACCCTCCCTGGACCTCCCCAAACCGCTCTCGCCTCACACGCAAAATCCAAAGCTGAAGCTACAACGGCAAAGCTGCAATGCAACACAATTGCAATGCAAAAAGCTGCAATGCAACACACACACACACTGTAATTCTGATTATGGTCGTTGGCGCCGTGGGCTCCAGACCCTCCCTGGACCTCTCCAAACCGCTCTCGCCTCGCACGCGGAATCCAAAGCTGAAGCTAGAACGGCAACGCTGCAATTCAACAAAAACTTCAATGCAAAACAACTGCAATGCAAACAATTGAAATTCTGATTATGGTCGTTGGCGCCATGGGCTCCAAACCCTCCCTGGACCTCTCCAAACCGCTCTCGCCTCGCACGCGGAATCCAAAGCTGAAGCCAGAACGGCAACACTGCAATGCAAAAAACTGCAATGCAACAAAAACTGCATTTCGGTCGTCGTCGTGGTGGTTGGCGCTGCCTCGCCGGACCTCCCCTAAACCACCCTCGCCCGGATCCTAAGCTAAGGCTGCAAGACGAAGATCAAACCAGACCAACCAGACCAGCCAGCCCAGATGCAACAACACAAATGCAATGCAAACAAAACTGCAAAGCAAAAAAAATATCCCGGCAAAGCAACCTAACAGCGATGTGTAGGAGCATATCTGGAAGCATTCCCCTTAAGATTCAAATGAGAATCCAGTTGTAGAGTTCTGCTGTTCTCGCAGTCGTAGTCGCATCCGCGATGACAGTCGCAGTGGCAACGGCAGTCGCAGTCACAGCCTCAGCCTCAGCCTGCCTCAGCCTCAGCCTCCGCCTGCCTCAGCCTCAGCCTGCCTCAGCCTCAGCCTCAGCCTGCTTCATCCTCAGCATCAGTCTGCCTTCAGCTTCGGCCTCAGCCTCAGACTGCCTCAACCTCAGCCTGCATCAGCCTCAGCCTCAGCCTCAGCCTGCCTCAGCATCAGCCTGCCTCAGCTTCAGCCTCAGCCTCAGCCTGCCTCTGCCTCAGCCTCAGCCTGCTTCAGCCTCAGCCTCAGTCTGCCGTCAGCCTCGGCCTCAGCCTCAGCCTGCCTCAGCCTCAGCCTGCATCAGCCTCAGCCTCAGCACGAAGCAACCCAGCTAGAAGGACAAAGCGCTGAATGTACACCGATGTGTTCGACGACTGCGTATGTAATGATGTGACGATATACAGACTGAGCCCTTCGTGAATGTCTACATGTTTTTCTGACGCCTACAAACGGCGCTGACGTGTGTGTGAAAAGTGTCCGCGCAGCAAAAGCCGGCGAAGCGTGCAGACAGCCAGCTGCAAAAGGTTGCGAGCGGCTCTTGGAAGACGTTTACGGAACGGAGCTACGGTGTCTGAAAACATTGGCATCGAAGCGAAGAGCCTCGGAGCCCTGCAGCCTGAGAAACACCGCAGGAACTCGCATACTGAAAAGGAATGCATTGCAAACCGCACGTTGCGAACCCTGCAGGCTGAGAAGCACCGCAGGATGTCGCATGCTGAAAAGCACTTGTACTGCAGAGCGCAGGCTGCGAAACCTGCAGGCTGAGAAGCACCGCAGGAACTCGCATGCTTTCGAACACTACTGCTCGAGACCGCAGCTGGAGAGCGGCAGACCGCAGGCTGAGAAGCACCGCGGGCAGAGAGACTTGCAAAACTCAGATGTCCTGATCGTCTTGGAGGAAGTCACGCCAGTCCGGCGGCTGCCAAGAATCGATGATGCGCCTGGAGCCACCGCCCGTGCTGCCGCCGATGTCCAGGTAGTCGCCATCGCCCCTGAACAGACGGCCGTGCCCGCACGCCAGAATCGCTTGGTTGCGGATTTG